AGCTGAGGTTTGAGGTTTCACTTACAAAGACTCCATTGTAACCTGTTTGGTCGTTGGAGTTTAGAAAAACAAAGTTTTCCTTGATGAAAGAGTCTTTCTTCTTTTTCTTTTTTTAATTCAGAAGGGTTAAAAAAAAAAAAAAAAGCCGCACATTCCCTAAGCAACACGTTTATGCTATTTCAGACGTCAGTATACCTTCTAGCACCATCGAAACGTAGCTGTTTGCAAGCGATAAAAGGGGTCACGTCCTAGAGTCAGTCTGAAATTTGGTGTAATTTTGAAGCGAGATGCAAAGACCTAATTCAAGGAACTGAGGGGGTGTCACTGCAGGTAAAACTGAAATGAGACCAGGCACTGGTCTCAAGGCTGCCCTGCCCTAATCCTCCCAAATCTTTTCCTCAAGCATACCCCCCACCTCCCCATTCTACTGGACAAAGATCCTGGTGTGGAGTCTCTGTTCTTGGCTGCTCCATTCTGGCCAAAACACTGACCTGCAATGACTGATAAATCGAGGTATCGAATGAGCCCCATTTTCATTTTTGAATCCTTTTGAGGATAAAAAGGCGTTAGACCCTCCCTTTTCCACAACTCCTCCTGGGTTTCATGCACTCTGCAGAGGTGAGATCCAGTGAAGCCTCCCCCAACCTTGAGGGCGTCAATCCTGCTCTAGCTCCACAGTTTAGCTCATTAGAGTATGGCGGAGACCAAAGCTGCGCTTGCTTGGAGGTCTGAGACATTTTTGTGTTGGGTTTCAAAAACCCGGCCTCCTCTGGAAGGTGTCTTTTACCCGACGGAGGCGGGGGCTTCAGGGCACCGCGCTCAGTTGCTCTCTGTTGCCCGATGTGCTCCACTAACCTATGTCTGCTATTTTTGCCAGAGAGGTCCCCCGGGCGAGCAGGGTCCTCCAGGGCCTCCGGGCCCCCCTGGAGTTCCGGGCATAGACGGCATCGACGTAAGTTTCTATCTTCAGGCCACCTCTGTTCCCTGGTCCTGCCCTTTCCTATTCTTTTCCCAGGGCTCCTGTGGGTTTTTAGAGAGGACCAGGGTCTCCCCTTCCTGCCACCCCACTTAAAGGCAGGATCGGACATGGGCGAGAGTTGGGGCTTGAATCCTAAGAGCCCGGGGATTTTTGGAGGGAGAGGTGTCCCTGTTGGTCATGAACCTCCACGTTTGACCCTTACACCATCCCCATCCGTGTAGTGAGCTCTCCTGGGATTGTCCCAGTGGGGTCCCCAGCCTATCCCGCTCATAGACAGCTCTCTCTTTTTCTCTTACCCCTCCAGGGTGACCGAGGTCCTAAGGGTCCCCCGGGTCCCCCGGTAAGTTGATTGGAGCAAATGGCGCTCCACTTCCTTCCTTTAGACGTGTTTTGCAGCCTCCTGTGTCTGAAGGGTCTCAACTTTGCACCTTTTTTCTCTCCTGCCCCCGCACCCCTCTCCCCCTGCTCAGGGTCCTGCAGGTGAACCGGGAAAGCCAGGAGCTCCAGGCAAGCCTGGCACACCTGGCGCTGATGTGAGTAGGCGAGTGCTGGGAGGGCGCCCAGCCTGGGATGTGTGGTGGGTATGCATAAGTGTGTGTGTGTGTGTGTGTGTGTGTGTGTGTGTGAGAGAGAGAGAGAGAGAGAGAGAGCGAGAGAAAGAGAGAGAGAATGCGCTGTGGCTCTAAACTTGGCCTCCTGCTAGCGCCTGACTGATGGAGGAGCTGGCAGGTTTTGCAAAAGCACTTGTGAAGGTGAGGATACCTCTCTCTAGGAGGCGTTGGCATTTCCTCATCTTAGAAAACAGCAGCGGATACCGGCTTCCTGTCTCTAACCGTGACCTCACAGTGCACATTGTGAACTCTCAGCCCCACTGCGGGCAGAGCTGTACCATGGCAGTAGATTGTACTGGCGTCCGCTTACCTGCTGTGAGTCCACTGGCAGGCTCCTGGAAGCTAGCCTTCGCCCTTGCTCTTTCATTGGCACTCCCTGCATTAATTTAGGAAAAGAGC